TGCTCTGTGAAGGAGGTGGGTTGGGTTAGAATTGTTTGTGTGCGGTCATGCACTTTAGAGGGAACACTGGTCCAGAGTTACAAATAAATAGCAGAAAAAGAGGGGCTGGGGAGGGAAAGGAAAGGGGGGGGGAATTATCAATTAGAGTGTCTGTGCTAAATGAGGCTAATTGAGTGGGCTATAAATGCCCAATACTTAACTTGTAATGTCATTAGGGTGTTGAATGTAGTGCCCCATCCAAGTAACATCTTTGTTCAGACCTTGGTTAAAGGTGTCAAAGTGGCAGATGAAGGTGATTTCTGCAGCTTCTCTTTCCAGCGGTTTTTTAAATTGCTTTGTAACAGGATGGTCACTTTGAGATCTATTAGTGACTGCCTGGTCAGGAAAAAATGTTCCCCAACGGCTTTCTGTGTGTTTCCATTTTGAGTATCTGATTCGTGTCCATTAATCCTTTGTCATAGAGATTGTCCAGTTTGGCTAATGTACATGGCAGACAGGCATTGCTGACACAAATCACATTAGTGGATGTGCAGTTGTATGAGCCTCTGATGTGGTGGCTTATGTGGTTAGGTCCTGTGATGATGTTGCTTATCATAGAACCATAGAGCTGGAAGAGACCTCAGAAGGTCAAGTCCACCCCCCTGGTCTAGACAGGACCAATCCCAACTAAATCAACCCAGCCAGGGCTTTGTCAAGCCAAGACTTAAACACCTCTAGGGATGGAGACTCCACTACTTCCCTAGGTAAGCCATTCCAGCACTTCACCACTCTCCTAGTGAAATAGTTTTTCCTAATATCCAACCTGGATCTCTCCCACCATAACTTGAGATCATTGCTCCTTGTTCTGCCATCTGTCACTAATGAGAACAGCCTCTCTCCATCCTCTTTGGAACCTCCCTTCAGGAAGTTGAAGGCTGTTATCAAATCCCCCCTCACTCTTCACTTCTGCAGACTAAACAGACCCAACTCCTTCAGCCTCTCCTTATAGGTCATATGCTCCAGCCCCCTAATCATTTTGGTTGCCCTCCACTGGACCCTCTCCAATGCGTCCACATCCTTTTCGTAGTGGGGGGTCCAGAACTGGACACAATACTCCAGATATGGCCTCACCAGAGCTGAATAAAGGGGAATAATCACATCTCTGGATCTGCTGGCTTGCATAGATGTGTGGACAGAGCTGGCGCTGGAGTTGATTGCAGGGGTGCATTCCTGGATGAGTATGATGGAGGTGTGCTGCGTGGTTACGGGAGAGAATTTGTTTGAGGTTAGGGGGTTGTCTATATTTGAGGACTGGCTTATCCCCCAAGGCCTGTGAGAGTGAGGGGTCATTTTCCAGGATAGGCTGTAGATGGCTGATGATGCGTTGGAGGGGTTTAAGTTGGGGTTTATGGTTTAAATGGTGTCTTGTTTTCTTTGTTGGGTCTATCTTGAAGAAGCTGATGCCTGGGTACTTGTCTGGCTCTGTCAATCTGTTTTTTCATTTCCCTGGTGGGTATTTCAGTTTTAAGAATGCCTGATAGAGACTCTGTAGGTGTTTGTCTCTGTCTGTGAGATTGGAGCAAATCCAGCTTTATCATAGGGCCTGGCTGTAAACATTTGATTGAGAAATGTGTCTTGCATGGAAGTTAGCCTGGTTTAGCAGGACACTCTAAATGACAATTTTCCCCCTTCTCTTTCCTTCCCCATCACCTCTTTTTCTGCTATTTATTTGTACCTCTGGACCCCTTGCTCCATCCATCTGAAGAATTGGGCTGTGCCCACAGCTCCTCTGCATGGTTTGTTAGTCTCTAAGTGCGGCAGGACTATTTGTTGTTTTTTAATTTTTTTCAATAGTGGGATGACATGGTAGCAGGAGATACCTCAAAAGTAGGGTGACAGAGTAGCGGGGTATAAGGAGCTTCCCGGGTATTGAGGTGGGGGAAGGGAACTGGGGAGTATGAGCGCGGTGGGAAAAGAGAAAGTACCAGGATCCACAGCAATCATGGGCCCCGCAAGACCCAGCGTGGCCCTTTTAAGGCGGAGGGATCCAGGGGCCGGGCTCAGCCCCTATATAAGGCTGGCGGAGGGGGTGCCGGCTTCTTTCTCCCGGCCGCACCGCAGCGCCTGTAGCAGGGACTGAGCTCGCTCCTGCCCGAACCCCAGCCCATCACGGTA